TTGTTTGTGAGAAATTGCCGTTCATAACTAGCTAGATGAAGGCTACACTTGGCATATGAGGTGGCTGCATCTGTGACCATAGTTATTGGAATCTTCCATCTACCTTGGCGTTATTTCTCCTAGAATACGGTTCTACGATTCAGGAATGGTAGGACATTCTCAATGCATTCCCATTTTCATATTCCACGGCTACATGGGAACTCCTTTTGATATTTGTTATTAAGGAAGAGTCCTCTCTCTCTCTCTCTCTCTCCTTTGATGGATTATGTTGTGGACTTATAAGATGCATCACAAGATATACTCTTTTTTTTTTAAAGAAGGGGAGCTTTTCATTGCAGTTGAAATTTGAAAGAAAACTGAGGCGTCGAAATCCTTCAAGTATTATTTTTGTCTTTTTTTTTTTAAAAAAATATTTTTTTATTTATAATATGTAAAGTGGCCGCCACTTGGTGTGACGGTAAAAGGCTCGGGTAGCTAGCGCAAGAGCGTGGGTTCGAGTTCGGAGAGCGGCCACTTTGTGCATAAGCCAAAGGTTAGGACTGTTTCGAGCCCGCCCGCCCCTCCTAGGACCCTGCATAGGCAGGACTAGCACAGGGTTTCAACCCTTTATAATATTTCTTGCATGTGAACTCCGTGGTGCTTCCAAGATAGGAAGCTTCTTGCAAGCACTGATCCCATGCTTCCCATCCTGTTTTTGCTCCTAATCCCAGCAACTGTTCCACTCACACTTGCCTAGTCTGAGTCCCCCAATGCTTAAGAGCATAAATGTAAGAGATGGAAGAGAACTTACTGACACTATTAACACCCAAACATCGATTTCAATACCAAGGGAACCCTTGTTCAGATCCTTGTGACCTTTGAGGATCTCGATTCCAATACGAGGGGTGCCATGGCTAAGCATACTCAATACATTAGTTCCAATACTAAGGGATTCTTGCATAAGGTTACTCTAGAACCTTGAACCTTTTGCCATAGGAAACACATTTCCTGATAATTTTTGATGCGGTTCAAAGTTGTTGGTTGCGCGATCCTATAGATGTAGGATCTCAATTCCATGTGGGTTGAAATTGGATCCCATAGAGATAGGAATCTCGATTCCACTTGAGTTTAATCTCGATTCCAAACTAGTATAAATCTCGATTGCAATTAGCCTTAAATTGGTGTCCAAGGAGGCAGGAATCTTGATTTCATTTGGGTTGCAATTATAGTTACCCGAATTGCTTATGAGGGTAGCGATTCCTTTTCGGAATCTCGATTCGGTGTTTCCCCTGGCAAAAGTCGATTCTAAAAGAAAGGAATCACATTTCCATTTTTTGCGGAACGCGATTCCACTTAGTTTAGGAATCTTGATTCCTGGATTGCTGGAATCAAGATTTCGTATTGAGGACTTTATGATTTTTAGTTGCACAAGAATGCGATTCTGCTTGTGAGAAACGTTGATTCCAAATTTTTTGGAATTGCGAATGCATATTGTTTGGAATCAAGTTTCTATATCGCAGACATCGTGATTCCTTGCTACACAACAATGCGATTCTACTTATGCTAAGCATTGATTCAAAGTATCAGGAATTGCAAATCCATGTTGTCAGGAAGCAATGTGAGCATAGGGAGAGCAGAAACCCTTTGATGTGTGCTTAATCATGAGTGAGCGCGACATGTATGAGAGCGTGAGAGAATTTAAAGTTGTTACACATGGCAATGAAATCAAAATTGAAAATATGAGTAATATATGAGCATAGGGAGAGCAGAAACCCTTCGATGTGTGCTCAATCATGAGTGAGCGCGACATGTATGAGAGCGTGAGAGAATTTGAAGTTGTTGCACATGGCAATAAAATAAAAAATTAAAATATAAGTAATATGTTAAATTTTTTATTTTTTTATTTACTAATTTTCATCTTTCATTCTATGTTACTTTTTAAGAACTCTTACAAAGAATAAGTAATACTAAAAAAATATGTTATGTCAAATTTAATAATGTTTGGTAAATGGTGTGGGCACCATACTACTAATGTAATAATGTTTAATATATGATCGACACCGTCATATCTTCAAGTGGAATAAGAGGATAAAACTGCTTTTCTTTAAGTAAAATAAGAAGATAATAAGGATATGAGCGAAGTGCCATGTGTGGTGTTTTAGGTTAAATTAATCATTAAATATCAGAAAAAATTGACTAAAAATTGAATAACTCAGTCAAAACTACATTTAACAAAGAAGAATTGTTATGTCATGTACTTATTTTATAATTCAAAGAAAGGAGATAAAAGGAGTTTGCCTTTGTTCTCACTCCTTGTATGCCATAGACTAGCTACAAACCTTGTAGGCATAACAGGATTATCGGCAGACCGAGTCCATTTTATGGGATTGTCAACAAAGATATCATAAAGATTGACATTAGTACTTGGAGTCTTGGACTGAGTATATATAGACCAAACTTCGATCTTGTAGTAATGGATAAATTTATATATTTTCTGAACATTCTCTCATATACCGGAGGGAATTGGGTCGCAATTCTAGTAAGGGGAGAATCTCAATTCCAATATGGGGAGAATCACGATTCCGGAATGGTGATAGTGTTGATTCCAAGTTGATGGGGACAACGATTCTAGAATTTTAGGAATCATGATTCCTTATTTTTAGGAATCACGATTCCATAATTTTAGGAATCACGATTCCATAATTTTAGGAATCACGATTCCAGCAACCACCGAAACAAGTGGGGTCATGTGTGATTCCATATAGGTCTAAAACGCGATTTCAACTTGAAGGGACATCGATTCTTGCAAATAGGAAACACGATTCCTAATTTTTGAATCGTGATTTTGAAATAATGAGAATCATTTTTCTCAAATCCAATCGTATGGACAACGATTCCTATATTCCAAAACTTCTAATACACTTGATTCTGATTCTAGAAACGATTCGGAATCACAGACGTTTCCAACAACTATAGTTGCAACTTGATTCCATAGAGGTAGGTATCTTGATTCCATGTGGGTTGAAACTTGATTTTGATAAGTTACGAATCTCGTTTCCTGTAGTTCCCCATGTATGGACAACGATTCTGACAACATGAATCTTCCAGCTACCCATAATTCTGAGATTCCGTTTCTTAAATCGATTTGGAATCTCATGCGTTTCCAACAACTATGCTTTAAATCAACATTAATGGATCCTCTTTAGGTTACCCTGGTTTGGCTGGTTAGGGTAGTTGTATTGATGACCATATTGGGAATTGGCTGGTTAGGGTAGTTGTATTTATGACCATATTGGGAATTTTTTTGCAGCACAAATTGGTCCAGATACAACTAACGTATTGGAATTTATGGTGCTGGAGAAGGGAATTGAGATAGCAGCAGAAATGGATTGCAGTAAAATCCTCTTTGAGAGCAATTCAAAGCTCATGGTTGATTCCATGGTTGCTTTATGGAGGTTGAGAGAAATTTTATCCAATTTTCCAATGCAGTTGAATTCATTTGTATTGCAGATCAGGCATGTCTTTAGAAAAGCAAATCATATGGTGGATTCCCTCGCCAAGCATGGTGTGCACCTTTCAATTGTGACTCTTTGGAGGGTTAGGCCTATGATCTTGATTACAAAAGTACCCCATCGCTTGCTTCTAAGATGTTTGTGATGTAATTGATTGTTTTATTTTTATATGGAAAATTAATGAAAAGACGTAGGGCCCCCCACCTCCTCTGACTTATCCAAAAAAAACGAGGACCTGTACAGAACCATTCCATGCAGGAACTTTCTAAGCATAAACATCTTGGGTTGTCTAATATCTACTGAATAGAGATTGGTTCACAACCTATTCCTTGAATAGATATCCCTTCACATTCTTTCTCCCTCATCTTGCATTAGTGGCATTTCCAAGCTTGGGTGGCCTACTTGAGGCTCCGCAATACTGGAATGTGAAATTTGTGTACCAGAATTAATACCATCAACTCTAAATCTAGTGTTCTTCCTGAACTCTACCATTGTCAACAAAATGCCTCATCACCCCTTAACTTCTGGTTTTCATCAATCCTACTACCATGATTACGTTCAACTAGTTTAGACCACAAGCTACCTAACCTCTGCAAAACATTAACAGTGTCCAAAAAAAAAAAAAAAAAAAAAAAACTAACCAAAGTCTAGTGCTCTTTCGGGGCCTATTACTCAGCTTAATGAGCTTGGTCCCCAGGACTCCTCTGTCCTTTTGGGTTGCAAACCTCCTTCTATTTGACCAAATGAAACTTCCTCTTTCCATGATTCCCTTGCCTTATGAATTCTCTTTAAATCCTCTCTGGTTTTTCTATCATCTGAATGATGATTGGCCTGCCCTTGGGGAGAGCTGTCAAACCTGGTTTCTCACCTTGCCACCACTTGATTTCCATATTCTTGCTTGGCTATAGCTATCACATGGGGAGATCCGTGATAGGTGGATGGTAGCACTCCATTATGCATAAATTCACCCTTTTAGGTAGTTTCTTCTGCTGAGATGTGTATTGGATCTACATCATATTAACCCATTGATTGGTTATTAAATTGAAATATTAAATGATTGGCTCTTTGTAAAATGCTGGATAATACTGTTAGTCCCTTCATGTGAAAGACTTCTATGGACCTCACAGGCATTGCCTTTTCCTAGCATAAACTGAATGAATAAAGCACATGTGATTCTTTATAATATCTTGAGAAGGATGTCTTACTTCGTTAGCACTTTCTATCCTTATCTAGTTTGCTCTTTTTATTTCTTCTCTTCCTTTTTATTCCTTCACCATAATTGAAATTCTATGTCTGCTGTCTTTCATTCTAATGGTCCCATGTTTAAGTGGATGTAGTGAATTGCTGCTAAGTGTTTGGTAGATCTGCTTTTCTTAGGAGTAAAGGGAAGATAATTGAAAGCAATTTTCAAAATGTTTCATTAGACTTCAACCTGAATGCCATTGTTATGGAGCTTTCCATATGATTCTTTTTAATTTGCTCATGCCTAAGTTTTTGGCTATTATGCAGATCATGATCGCACTCACATCGCTTCTTTCGAGCTTCATTATTGAAAGAATTGACGAGCGAATTGGATTCACATGCCTACTTCCTCTCCTTACAATTGATTTAGCGAGCATTCTTTATGTGCAGTAATTTGCTATCTTCTTTCATTTGTTTTATCAGTAAAATCTTTTTGTTTTATTTTTTGATCAATAACATTGCAAAATTTTATTAAAATAAAAAACAAGTAAAATCTGAACCCTAGAGGTGCTGAGGTAGCAGTTCAGTGGCCAGAGAGGCTGTTTCCACAACAAAACCGAAGCATGTCTCACTACTATTAGCAAGTTTATCAATCACTTCATTAACTTCCTCAAAACATGGTGAAAAGGAGGGAGCAAGATGAAACTATGTTTGATAACTTGTTTAAGATTCAATAGTACATTTATTTAGTACTTTATGTTTGCTGTAGGATGTTTGACGACCTCCGATTGTGCATGATGTACCACCTTATTCCATGCGTAGCAATTCCGGCCATGGCATTTGTGTTTCCACCAAAATACACTCACTCGAGATATTGGTTCTGGGCTGCAGGTTGTTGATTTGATTGCTTTTACTTATTTGTTCATTATATATCTCTTTAATTATGTAGAAGAAATGAGGAATCTTTGTCACTCGTCCTTTTATGAGAATTGTCATACATATCACTGAATTTCTTGGGTGTGAGCTATGAGCAAGGCATGTTCTTTATTTCCTTCAATAAATGTCTCTATAGTGCTCTAAGGGGGAAAAAAAAAAACAAAGTAAGTGTTGTTCTTGGGGTAAGTTTATTTTTTGTCGTAAAGAATTAGTTAATAGGTATTTTATGAAGTAAGACTTATGAGCGTGGCAAAGAGAATTTGGAGATTTCCCCTTTATTAGAACCTTTTGCTCTAGCTTCCTTATTACATGCTATAATGAAATCTCCATGGTGCTAGAAATGTAGATCTTCTATGGCTCAGTTGATAGTATATAAGGTGCAATGTAAATATTTGCTTGTTATCTACCAAGAGATGTTAACTGACCTCAATTATGTTGCTTCCACATCTCTAGTTATGGATGATCTGCAAAGACCGCTCTTTGGGAAACACAGGCTAAATTTCTTCTTTGCTTTTTCACTTTTAAACAAAGCGATGTAATGTGGCTATTGGCAAGAAACCAATCCAGTATCATGGAATATTAGCCACACTCATAAATAGAGAAACTGGATACTTTTTGAGAGAGAGAATAAGACCTCAAAAAGTGCAAGCAGAACTTGTATTTCTTAGAGAGCCCATTTATATTAGTTTGCAATGTCTTGAACAACAGAGTTGATTTTAAGTTTATGGCTGTTTATCATTGCATTGATTTATTTTCGAGAGTCTGTGTTTGGGTTTGTGGCCTTAAAAGGCCGTGAGAGCATGTAAAAGACATTTATAGTGGAATATACACTTCAGTAGGAATGTATGTGTGTGTTGATTGACCAAGGATTGGGTGGTCTGTGGCCCTTGTCATGTCCAAAACCTTTACCCTTGCGCATGTGACTTTACCAAAAAGGGTTTATAGTGGGTCATCCCTTGTTAAGATCGGAGAGATGCCCATGGATGGTTTGTAGGCGAGGAGAGCTGTGTGGTCTCTAATGTGCAGATCTAAGCCTATGAGAGTGAAGGCTAAATCCTCAACAAACTTCCACATATATACAAATGGCAGTCGCATTACCGGGAACCAGCTTTGAAAAGGGGTAAGTGTATATGTGCTTAGAAACAGGCCCCTTTTGCACTGTAGTGACATGTGTTTAGCTTGCTCTTAAAGCGGGGGAACTGTAATAGACATTTTAGGACTGTGGTTCTACTGTTAATTGGCTAACTTTGACAAACCAATCATGAGCCCTTGTATGAGACTGTGAGTCGTTGGTTCTCGTTGTGTTGGTTTGAGAAGACAGTTGTGGATCATGGTCACTGAGTCGGGATAGTGACTTATTTTGACCCATTGGTGCCAATCTATTTCTACATTTTTTTTTTTTTTGTATTAGAAATGTTTTGGTGAATTTCAAAGTTTTTTCAGAATTTTAAAAATTATTTCTGCCGTATATTCTTTGAAAAGGGTGTTTTTGTAATTATGGGATAAGGAAGGGCACATATGGGGCCCTTGGATCCAGCCCCACATGTGTGCCACTCCTCATGGTGGGGCGTGGGGACCATGGCTCTCATGTCACCCATAGCGGTGGCACGTCCCCCTTTCTTTTTCCATAGGTTTTTTTAATTAAAATATTACGTTCTAAGATAAGTTTGTTAAAGATAATCTTTTAAAAGGAAAGATTATGTATCTATTTTTGTGGGAGTTAGTTTTGATTAGGTTATATTAGCTTCGACTTCCTACAATTTTGAAAGAGATATAAGGAAGTTCTAGAAGTTTCTAGATTATTTAAATCCTAATTGGATTAGAAGTGGATATGGGTCAAATATTATGGGGATAATGTTCCTAATCTTCCTTCCTAAATCATGATGGTTGATTTAAGGGTTGGATGACACATTTTATTCTCTTTCACCTTACAAATTTTCTTAATTACTATTAGTTAAAGGTGAGTCGTTGGATAGGCATACCTAAAGGGGTCTTGATTTATGGTTATGTTGTTGCATCTTGCTACTTTTGCTGACAATATACTTATCATTGTCCAATCTACCTCTCCAATAGTGGTAAGCTCCTCAAAAGATCTTATAAGTCCTCATTGAACAATTATTGTTCATGAAATCCTTGAGGAGCACTTGGCATCTTTAAAAAACATTTGAAACTTAAAATATTGATCTCCATGGGAATGTAGTAACATCTCATCCCTAAGGGCATTATGTAAATTTCATTGCCAAGGCTAGTTATGTGAGATCTAGAAAGCTAGGTTCCTTTCTTTTTTTGCGAAGCTAGGTTCATGGTATTTCCTACACCAATAGGCATTTAAAAATTTCTCTACCGAGGTTTTTTCCGTTGATTTACAATATTGGGGTTTTAATTTAGCAACTTCTTATTGGACTGTGTTTGGGCTGCACTTTTTTCCTGCTAACAATTGAAACCTTTTACCCCAAATAGATATCATTCTTTTGATTTATTACCCACGTTGTATTTATTCTATGTTACACTCAATTGGTGGTGTGCAGTTTCTGGTGTGTATGGGTAAAGCATTAGAGAAACTCATGGGCTAGGATGTAATATGACTTGAATCGCTCAGTGGCCTGGAATACCTGATATTCCGTAGAACTCCTGTTGGATATTGGATAATGGTTAACTTTTGGTCCAACAGCAATCTTGAAGAAATTTATGCATAAATATTTGCATTGACAGATATATAGCAGCGTTAACGTGATTGTAAATACATCCTCACACAACATCCTCATCATTGTAAAATGCATCCAAGGATGACACATTCCCAAAAACAATGTAAATTATCTAATGAATTATGCATTCTGATAAGTTCAAAGCTGTCCATCTCTCTTCCAATCTGAGCCAAGTGGACCCCAATATCATGTCCACCTTGTGCATTAGTTACTTTCTTCTTTCATGATTAATTGTTGGCAACATAACTTTCTTACTTAGACATAGATGTTTACGACTAAATGAATTATGTATTCTGATAAGTTCAAAGCTGTCCATCTATCTTCCAATCTGAGCCAAATGGACCCCAATATCATGTCCACCTTGTGCATTAGTTACTTTCTTCTTTCATGATTAATTGTTGGCGACATCACTTTATTACTTAGACATAGATGTTTATGACTAAATCTTTGATTTTACAAATTGGGTTAGCTTAATATTTAGATCATAGATATCATTTTCATATACATATAATGTGTTGCGTTAGAATCAGATTTGAGATATTTATACTACTCATTTTATTGCAATATCTTGTTCAGCTTTGAGATATGAATGGAGACCTGAGTGGTGATTACGAAGTACCATTGCATCTGAAAGTTGGACAGGATCTGATTGTCACTTTCCTTCCATAACACGTAGGCAGTTTCACATTAGGATCCTACTTATCAAAATAAACCATTTTGAAATAGGATTATACTTCATCTTCAATTCTTCTACTTCCATTCTGTGATGAAGTTCTAGTTATCAATCCATTACTTCCATCATTACTTTCTTATTCTTAGGTTCGCTTTCTCTAGTCCATAACTTATGATCAGTGTTTAAAAATATGGTGATCCGGATGGGAACTGGCTGATCTAGATCCCGTTAAATATTGGAAACTGGCCGGTTCTCTTACCAAACCTGATTTCCCACTTTCTTAATATTTTAAGTTTTTCACTTCAAAAATTCTATATATATATATATATATATATATATATATATTATTTTATTAAAGGGTTAGGT